ATCCCAACAACACATTAAACATAACAGAGTGAAATGGATCCAGAATAATGTTGGAGCAAAGCTCTTAAAACACACAATAGTGCTCTTTACTCTCGGAGATCAGTTACATGAGCAAATAAGAGAGATATCTGCATAAATGTAAAACACTGCGGTCAGTAGTTGATCAGTGTTCGGGAGGTTTTCATGTGTTTAACAACAAAGATGAAGATCAAGGAGGAGTGGTGGTAGGAGGATGAGGAGGAAGAGTGGTAGGAGGAGGAGGAGTGGTGGTAGGAGGAGGAGTGGTAGGGGGATGAGTGGTGGGAGGAGGAGGAGGAGGAGTGGTGGGAGGAGGAGGAGTGGTGGAAAGAGGAGGAGGAGTGGTAGGAGGAGGAGGAGGAGTGGTGGTAGGAGGAGGAGTGGTGGGAGGAGGAGGAGGAGGAGGAGTGGTAGGAGGAGGAGGAGGAGTGGTAGGAGGAGGAGGAGGAGGAGTGGTAGGAGGAGGAGGAGGAGTGGTGGTAGGAGGAGTAGGAGGAGGAGGAGGAGTGGTGGTAGGAGGAGGAGTGGTAGGGGGAGGAGTGGTGGGAGGACGAGGAGGAGGAGTGGTAGGAGGAGGAGGAGGAGTGGTAGGAGGAGGAGGAGTGGTGGAAGGAGGAGGAGGAGTGGTAGGAGGAGGAGGAGGAGTGGTGGTAGGAGGAGGAGTGATAGGAGAAGGAGTGGTGGGAGGAGGAGGAGTGGTAGGAGGAGGAGGAGGAGTGGTAGGAGGAGGAGGAGGAGTGGTAGGAGGAGGAGGAGTGGTGGTAGGAGGAGGAGTGATAGGAGAAGGAGTGGTAGGAGGAGGAGGAGTGGTAGGAGGAGGAGGAGGAGGAGTGGTAGGAGGAGGAGGAGTGGTAGGATGAGGAGGAGGAGTGGTAGGAGGAGGAGGAGGAGGAGTGGTAGGAGGAGGAGTAGGAGTGGTAGGAGTAGGAGGAGTAGGAGTGGTAGGAGGAGGAGGAGGAGTGGTAGGAGGAGGAGGAGTGGTAGGAGGAGGAGTGGTAGGATGAGGAGGAGGAGTGGTAGGAGTAGGAGGAGTAGGAGTGGTAGGAGGAGGAGGAGTGGTAGGAGTAGGAGGAGGCCGGACAGCTTACATTGGTCAACTTCTCTCATCCAATCACCAACTCCACTGAAACTCCGCCTGCCGCTCGCGTCTCCACCGCACCCGCCCCCCTCCTGCGTCATGAAATTGCGCGCGTAAGCAACTGACAGTCTATGGTAGCTAGCTAAGTAGCATATCAGCAATGGATTAAAAAAAAAGACAGCAGCAAGCGTCCCCTGCTTGCCCCTACAGTAAAGTTAGGACTGTTCAGGAAAATCTCCAGGCATTGACGGTTTGCAACCTGAATTTTATAGACATTTTTGGCATTGCTTTGGACGGGATCTTTTTGAAGTTTTTTGTGTATGTAACAAGGATGATGTGTTGCCTGTGTCCTGTCAACGGGCTGTTTTGTCATTGTTGCCGAAGAAGGGGGATTTGTCTCTTTTGAAGAATTGGAGACCAGTCGCCCTATTGACTACTGAATACAAGATTTTATCCAAATGCCTTTCAAATAGGCTTAAAAAGTATCTCCATCTAATAGTACACAGTGATCAAACATATTGTGTTCCAGAAAGGACAATATCGGACAATTTGTTTTTGATACGGGATGTTTTGGACATTTGCAGAGTTTCTAAAACAGAAATGGGTTTAATTTCCCTGGACCAAGAAAAAGCGTTTGATCGTGTCGACCATAACTATCTCTTTAATGTATTGAATGTATTTGGGTTTGGGGAAGGTTTTTTTTAAAATGGGTGAAATTGTTGTATGCAGGGGCTTCTTGTATTGTTAAGGTAGGGGGTGGACTGAGCCGTCCAATTTCTGTAACAAGGGGCATAAGACAGGGGTGCCCTTTATCAGGACAGCTATATAGTATAGCAATTGAACCTTTACTTTGCAAACTACGAGAGTTCAGTGATTCAGGTCAAATGATTGTGAAATAATGATTATGTTACAACATAACCAGTACCATCAGATCACCTTTTCTATTTGTTCATCTGGCTGTTATAACTCACGTACATCAGCCAAACAAAATCTAAAGTTAATGATTTAATGGTCAAGAGCCCAACTAAAACACACACTGATCTCCATAATGGTGACTTAAAATAACGTTTTTCTCCTTCAGTGATTCTGCTTGTTAACATCAGGTGTCTTCAATATTGGTAATTAAAAAAAAGAGTTCTTAATTCATCTTTGACGTCAGTCTGTTACTCCGATATTTTTGTTTAAAAAAAATTGTAAATTTTACTCATTTTAAATTATTAACTTTTAAGGAATTAATTTGGTTAATTATTACTCAATTCTAATTAGTTAAATTTAATTAATAATATTGCTTGTAATCTGTTGCCTCATTTTAATTGATTAGATTTAACATATTCATTCGTTTTAATTTTTACAGTGTGTGTCTCTTGAAGATAAATAACATGCAATTTTTTCTGCTCTATAAAGGAAAAAGACAGATAAAAGCAGCATTAAGAAAAGAGACACCATGTGATGCATGGAATGGTTAACTAAAACAAAGCCTTTAACGTTCTCTTTTTTTCCACATTTCTATATTTTCTAATTGTCGTTACATGTTTCTTCAAACGAAACCTTTTCTTTTCGCTTAAGCTCTCAAGACTCACATTCTTTTGATGTACTGAAACGGACTTCTCAAACTTCTCAATATCTGGAAAAAAATCTATCACATTAACTTGCTTCCCAAAAGTGTCATCCAGAAAAGCATTAATCTCCTCTAAAGTATACAATGAGGAATCATCTTGTGAGAACTCTTGAGAGTCCAACTCACCACTGCACATAGAATCTCCCTGTGAACATAAGTCAATATCATGTATAGATGTATTCTCATCTAACAAAGTTTCATCCATGCCACTCTTATTGGATTCTTTGTTGCAGCTCAACTCCTCAACACGCTTGCAAAACCTAGACTGTATACCGCTCGTACTTGGTACAGAAAGCAAGACATTTTCAACATTCAGTGTTTCAGCATTTTCTCCGTTCAACAATCGCAATATCACTAAGATCAGACTCGATCACTGTTGTTCTCACTTCGCTATTTGTTTGAATATTCTCGGGAGCAGTTACACTTATTTCTAAAACTCCTACCTCAGGAGGATCTTCAATCTCACCCCGAACTTCTTGGGTAGGCACTCGTTGAGAAGTAACATCAATCTCTGATCCCAAAACATTGCCTTCAACTTCGCGTTCTTTATGTGGGCACGCATGTCGTTTGTGCCCAACGTCACCGCATTCAAAACACTTCATATTACCCGTTGTTGCGTAAACCATATATGTTTTCCCCTCATGTTTAACACGAAAAGATATATCCAGCGTTCGCTCCGGAGAATCCAAAACCATGTTGACATTTCTCCTGAACAACATCACGTGTTTTAGAGCCGGATAAAAGCATGTTCATTAGTTATAAACGGTGGCACATTTGAAATCGTGATTTTGGAAGAAGCTGCATAGAGTGGAGTGACTTGCACTAAATCATCATTAATAATAAGGCCATTTCCGATTATCTGATTGACAAGATTCTGTGCTTTCAAAAAAACTACAACAGCCTTATTCATACGAGAGGCAGAAGAAATATGTTCATGGCCTACCGCTTCCCCAGTCGCAACAAGCACATCCTCCACCATTACCCCATCAGGAGGCACACACCTGAATCCATTGCGTAAGGACAGCGCCTCAGCCTGAGACGCCATCCCTCCGCCTTAACAGCAACAACAACAAATAAACACTTACCAAACCATGCAGAAACAAGATGAAATGGGGAATAAAAAAAAAAAAAGAAATATAAGTGAAAATCCACCACTCAGTCTTCACCCCCACCACTCTCGCACGTGCAAACTCCCAGAATTCCCGAGAGAGAGAGAGAGAGAGAGAGAGAGAGAGAGAGAGAGAGAGAGAGAGAGAGAGAGAGAGAGAGAGAGAGAGAGAGAGAGAGAGAGAGACTCCTGATGTCTTTTCCTGTAAATCAGCAGGAAACCTGCAGAGCTCTGTTTTACTTTTAGTTTCACACAGGAAAACAGAAGGAACACACACATGGATAAGGTATAGCTAATATCAAACTAATATTGTTTAAATAGTTCTCAGTGGATTTTATTATTTGTGCAGTAAATCTTCACTCATTTGTAGAAGCGGCTGATGATGTCACTGAATTATGTTTAGGGGGGTTACAGTGTTGAATTGTTCCAGATTTTCCTGGTCGACGCCTCTGCTTTTCTTGGCTTGTGTCTTTATTACATTATATAGTATTTTTCTTTGCTTTGTCCGTTTTTAGAATAAGTTTGTTACAACATTTAGGCATTACATCAAAAAGTTTTCACAATATGCATGTACAGTTTTCCCTGAGGAGATTGTCATATGTTCACATTTCTACTTTTGATTTTTGATTGTTTTTCTTTTGCTGTCTTTTCCTTTCTGTATCGCAATGGCACGGTCTGTCATTACAAATTACAGTACAAACAGTAAAAGCGTAAATGTTAATCCTGTCCAGTCTCTTGCAGTCCGACTCCCACATACACTAATTTAACCTACAATTTACAATAATCATCATCAAAACTTCATCCATAGTTTACATCAGAACATCTCTCCGGAGGACACTGTTATATTGACGACATGACTGAGCAGTTTCACTGTGTTATTCGTACACAACGACACAAGTCATTCTGTTCATTGACACAGATATTAACTTTTGAGAGATGAACTAAGGATTTTGAGCAAGAGACTGGCTTTTGCAGGTAATACATGGTGTTTTGCTATTTGCACGCATTGTTTTGAGAAATACACTTAATGTTTTGCAAATGTTGAGGTTGATTCGAGAAATGTACCAAAGCGACTGAGAAAAACTGTAAATTAAAAAAACTGTAATGTAGAGAGATATACATTTACATAATATTCATTGTAAGTATGTATCTGATTGTTTATTGGTTGTCGCAGGTGTTGCTATGGTGATGTCAGTCATAATGGCTCTTCCTCTGATATTTCTGATCATGATTCACGGTAAGTGACTGATGTTACAGCAACACTTCACTTTTATATTCACTGATCAACATAATATTACTAATATCATATTCAAAGTGTTTCAGTATTTTCCATTTATTTTCATATATTTTTGATCGATATAATATATGGAATAATAATATATTGTGTCAATATATTGTTACATATTATAATATATTGAAAAATACCTAAGAAATTGCTGCTTTTCATTTATTGAAAAATGTGATGACAATGTATTTACACTATACAATGTCATTAAACGAGGAAAACGATTACTTTAGATTTATCATTGATGTTTTAATCAAATTTGTAAGTTGCTAAAAACATAACAGTGTCAGGACAATGATAGACTGATAATTTATTTGTGTTTATTAAACTACAAATACTTTGTGGATGTCTCTACTTGAATCAATCCGACACCCGTCTCCACGGTGACACCTAGTGGTCACTTGCAGGTGTTGATCTGAAACAACCTTGAGGAGCCATGAATTTTTTTTTTTTTTTTTTTATATTGTACTTTTCTAATATGTGAATCTTGTAACCTATAGGCTCCTCACTGTGCATAATGTTATTTTGGTCCTGCAAAATGAATATTAATAAAATAAATCAAGCCACAATGTCTCACTTTTTTTTACATATTTTTATTCAAAAATATTAATTTCTCTGCTGTGGAAGGACTCAGCCTACTTCTTTTTTTACAGATAATTTCTCCAGCCTTTGAAAAAATCCTCTTACAAGGGACACTTGTTGCTGGCATGCAAAGATATTTTTTAGCTAATACATAAATGAGGAAATATTACTGCTCTCTCTTTCCAGTAAGTTAGTGGATCATGAGTTCTGGGCAAATACGCATCGTTGATGTACTTTTTCACTTCCACTGTGGCATCAGCTGTAGCATTGTGTATCATCTGGGTTTGATGGATACGAGTATCAAAAAGTTCCCATAAACTGTAATGTGTTTCTACTGGTGTTGATGTTGATGTTGATGACATTTCTGGCTCTGAATAAAAATGAAAACAGCAATTAGTAACAAATGCTAAACTGACGGCATATATGAAGTATATATTACATGAATCAGATTACATAACACAGACTATAATCTATAATCTGTCTATGTATTTATAGCCTATCTTTAATCTATCTATATGTATCTATCTATTAATCTAGCTGTCTATATATATTTATATCTATGTATCTATTAATGTGTCACTATATGTATACTCTGTGTGTCTAACCTATCAGTCAATGTGTTGTGTACATTTTAATGTAAGCCTAAATATAACTAAACAAGTCGCACTATAAATGTCACTATATCACCAAAAATCCGCTATCTCAAAATCAAACTCCTCTCACAAAAACCCGTCAATATGCGTTTGATTTCACTTTTCTACAGATGTGCGATTGTGTGGTCTGTTCCCGACCGTGTCAATCAAACGCTGATTCGGCGGATCACACCTGATGAAACACTTAGTGAAACATTTCGAGGCTTCGTTTGGCCACAGTCACGTGACATGGGTGTTTTGACTCACGCTTCGAATCAGTGTTTCAAAACATCTGCGCTTCGGGATCTCGCAAAGCTTCGGAACGACTGTTTCACGTCAACCATCCCTACCATTAAATCATCAAGAGTCAAACTGCCCAACTAAAACAAACACCGATCACCATAATGGGGACATCAAACCAAACTATTCATTTCAATAAATAATCAACATTTAAACCCCTGTTAATCTAAAAACAAACTTTTCCACAAGTAAATCTGGTTATTAATAAATGAAGCTGGTAATGCTGTTACCAGTTGGAGCCTAACATCAGATGTTTACACGTCAACCTGATTTTAATTTTCAAACAAAATTTGACATCTGAGCGATGTTGGAGTCCATGTCCAATGAGGATACACTTTTAGCTCACTGTGATCTCACATTGTGATCATATGTAGGGGATCACTGTGAGATCAATGTGTTGACTGGGCATTTAATATAAACCATAAATATATTTTTGTCCAGTAAGGATGTACAGCATCCCTCATGGCAAATCTCATTTTTGCTCTTCTACTTCATCACCCTCTGCTCATCTTCTTACTTTAGTCAGTAGACTTATTTCAGTAATTGTAGAAGCGACTGCTAATGTCTTTATTATGAATCTGTTTCAGGGGGTCGTAGTGATGAAATACTGATTCTAACACTGTAGGGGTAATAATTAAACTGTACATCAGCTCTGACCACTACTGGAGAATTTCTGTTGAGTTCTGACTGCACTTCATTTTTATGTTCATTTCACTTTCATTTCAGTATTTTGTGGATATGTGTTTATATAGTAAATAAAAGCACCTTTTCCACAAGATCAGGGTGACTGATAAAACAACATTTTCATCTGGATGATTTCTGTTTCAGGGGTTTCTAGTGATGATTGGAGTGTGAGTTACAGTCCTTCACACATCTGTGCACTAAAGGACTCAACAGTGATAATGAGATGCTCTTATACATACCCTACTGGACATCAGATCAAGGAAGCGTTCTGGACAAAAGAGTTTATAAAGGGTGTTGAGTTTCCAGATCTGTCTAATGACACTGAATACAGTCAGAGGCTTCAGTATCTGGGAGATCAACAGCAGAACTGCACCGTCAGACTGAGTCATGTGACACAGAAGGATTCACACATGTACTATTTCAGATTCATCACTGATATAACAGAAGGAAAATGGATTGGTGTTCCAGGAGTGAATCTTACTGTTACAGGTGACTTTGGTGAGGTTTATCTCTTCTTCTGTGCATTATGTTGAATAATAATCAGTGTATGACAGCAGCACTAGATATAATGTGTGTGTTGTGTTCAGATCTTCAGGTGGAGTCTCCTGAGAGAGTGACAGAGGGAGATTCAGTCAGTCTGACATGTAAAAGCAGCTGCGCTCTGACTGACAGAGCAACATTCATCTGGTACAGAAACTCACAGCCATTAACTGAGAGAAGAGACAGAAACAATGAACTCCTGCTGCAGTCAGTCAGAAGAGAGGATTCAGGCAGATATAGCTGTGCTGTAGACGGACACACTCACGTCTCTCCTGATGTTCAGCTCAATGTCATGTGTGAGAGCAGATTCACTTAGTCTTTTAAAAAACTGGAGATTAAGTTTGAATGAGATGATTTGAGGTTTTAATTTTTGTCCCTTTTAGACCCTCCAAAGAGCGTCTCAGTGTCCATCAGTCCATCTGGTGTAATAGTGGAGGGAGATTCAGTGACTCTGAACTGCATCAGTGACTCAAACCCTCCTGCAGAAATCCACTGGTTTAAAGGAGGAACGATTGTAGGATCTGGAAGAATCTACAACATCTCAAAGATCAGCTCTGATGACAGTGGAGAATACAAGTGCAAGTCCATCAATAAACATGGAGAGAAATACTCTGATAATGTGACTTTAAACATCATGTGTGAGTTAATGATGGTTCAGTAACTGTGACATTAAATCCTCTAAACATATGTGATTTCAAGTTTAATATGATTGTTAATGATATCAATGTTTGTCTGTTTTAGATCCTCCCAGGAACATCTCAGTGTCCATCAGTCCATCTGGTGTAATAGTGGAGGGAGATTCAGTGACTCTGAACTGCATCAGTGACTCAAACCCTCCTGCTCTGAACTTCAGCTGGTTTAAGGAGAATGAAACCTCAGCTGTTGGATCTGGACAGAGTTTCAGTGCACTACAGAGTGGACGCTTCTACTGTCAGGCTCACAATCAACATGGATCTCAGAGATCAGACGCTGTAACTGTCACAGGTGAAGCTTTGTAAGAGCAAACCTATAACTTTCTTCAGTCTGGACTGTTAATCTGAGCTGATAATGTTTCACTCTTTCAGTGCATCACAGATCTAGATGGCATCAAGTTTTTGGGATCACAGTGGAATGTGGAGCAATATTCATCCTCGTCATCATCATTATCATCGTCATCCTGTTTATAATGTGAGAACCACAAACAACTTTGATAATATTAATATAGTCGCCCATGTGCTTTTAATTTCTGTCATTTTTTCAGAAAGAAACAAAGGAGTATTAAAAATGAAAATATCACAGTGAAAGAGGTAAATCATCCAAACACAACATGACTTTAAAAAAGCAGAAAATCAATCGATCATCTGTCATCTGTAATCATGTGTCTTCATGATCTGCATGCAGGAACAAACAGTCCGATTCAGAAACAAATGACTCAAATGAGTCGATTAAAAAAAAATAGTATGCTATACATTTAGCTTATATTGACTTCTCTATTTTCTGATGTAAATCCTTCTATCGCTCCTATAGATCTCTGAACCCAATGAAGACACATATACGGCTCTTGTATAAAGAACCAATCCTGGGCTCTGTGGGCGGAGCCACATATGATTGACAGGGATTGACCCTCATTTGTTCCCTTTGACCCTTTGTGAGAAAATGACTGCTATTGTGTGCTATAGACTGATGTAATGTATGTTTAATTGTGTAATCTTACATATATAATACTCTTTTTCAGTATTTTTGGTCTTCAGTTTTAGGCACAAGCTTAGAAAGCAAAAATATACTTCTTATCAGTATTTGAATGCATACATTTTTATGTATTTTCATGTTTTGCCCCCACACATCAGGATTTCTGATTATAAATATTCAACATGTTGAGATCCGGTCACATTTGACACACCCCACACCACGAGAAAATCTGATAATCTGTCATCAAGATAATCGGGACTTCACTTAGGATCATCAGAAGGAGAAAAATCGGCCAGAATATTTAGAAGACATTAAAGGGCAGCTATTATGGAATTTTGAAAATTACCTTTCATGTAGTGTGTAACACAGATCTAAGTGAACAAAAACATCCTGCAAAGTTTTATATATGAAAGTTCACCGTAAAAAAAAGTTATTGTCTCTCAAATAAATCGTTTTGGAATCAATTTAATGAATGGTTTTTTTCCAATGAGTCATTTTCCTTTTCGTTGTGACGTCAAGACGAAACATGATAAAATTGGCCGGCCCACTCATTGCTCGCAGACAAACTTGAAAACAGAGTTGTATAAAGTAGAAGTAGAAAGTAGAAATTCTGCCATGTCTTACTTCCAGCCATGAACTGATTGACAGTTGATTTCAGTTGATTTCTGTCTCCTGACTGAAAAACTGCTAATAAGCAAATCCAGGTGATTGGAACAAAATACTGAGGCGGACTTTTACTTTCTGAACCTGGACTTTACTCCTCTGAAGAGAACAGAAAAAGAGACGACACAGTCTTAGATGAAATCAACTGAAGAGAAGACATTAAATCTGAATATCTCAGCAGAGGAGGATTAAACAACTCCACAAACAGCATTACCAGCTTCACTTATTACTAACCAGACTGACTTTATTTCTGTCAGACTTCTACAGAAGTTTATATTTTTTTTTAACAGAGGTTTAACTCAGTTTCATTTGAAGTCACCATAACAGTGATTAGTGTTTCCATTAGCCAGGCTCTTTACTCATATTAAATATTTGATCTCTTATGACTGCTGTGACAGTGTGTTTGTCAAACACATATACAGTAACAAAATCGAACGGGATCAGGTGATGAAGGTTACCTGGTGATGGTTTTGTAATCATCATGAAAAAGCCTGATTCACTGTGGTATTTGAATTTAATAATTATTTTGACAAATTATTATAAAAAAACAACAACCTGTAACTGCATCATGACATCCAGCAATATTATAACAATAAGTTAGTAGACTTTAACAAACATGAGAAAAAAAAAAAAAAAATTATGATGATACACACAGACATCAACAATCAGCGTATGAATCTTAACAACGGCTGAACATAAGCTCATTATTTATTAATGCAGCAATGCATGATGGGAGCCATGAATGAGTTTTGATTGGTGGCATCCAGAATACACTGCAAAATGCTTTATAATTGTCACCATTATTGAGATTCACAGGCTGATTCTTCATGTCTTAAAAAAAATAAAAAATAAACTTTGTATGTGATTAAATTTTAAGAAAAGATTTGAATTACATTGTTAAAGTTACAAATATTATGATTATCAAGGACCGTGCTGCTATAATCAATCAAATAAATTTAACTCGTTAATTAGGCTCTACTCAGGTTATATGATTGCGATATAATTATAATGTTCAAAACATCAAACACCATTATGCGACCTTTTCTCTTTGTTCATCTGGCTGTTTGAACTAAGGTACAGCAGCCAATCAAAGATCTGAAGTTAATCATGTAAGGGTCAAGAGAGCAACTAAAGCAAACACTGATCTCTATAACGGTAACATACCAATTACGATTTTCTCCTTCAGTGATTCCTCTGTTGAAATGAAACCTCTGTTAATTCTCAATAAAATCTTCTGTAGAAGTCTGACAGAAATAAAGTCAGTCTGGTTAGTAATAAGTGAAGCTGGTAATGCTGTTTGTGGAGTTGTTTAATCCTCCTCTGCTGAGATCTTCAGAGATTGAATGTCTTCTTTTCTGTCTTTTCAAGACTGTGTCTGAAGTCAGTTGTAGTTCTTGTGTTTCTGCTCGTTTCTTTTTCTGTTCTCTTCAGAGGAGTAAAGTCCAGGTTCAGAAAGTAAAAGTCCGCCTCAGTATTTTGTTCCAATCACCTGGATTTGCTTATTAGCAGTTTTTCAGTCAGGAGACAGAAATCAACTGAAATCAACTGTCAATCAGTTCATGGCTGGAATAAACACATGGCAGGATTTCTACTTTTTCTGTACTTCTACTTCTACTTTATACAACTCTGAGAGCAACTATATGGCTGCACGACTTTGGACATGCATTGTAGATTTTTCTGGTTAAAATAGCTTTTTAATTATAGGCTATATATATATATATAGCCTATAATATATATATATATACACACACACACACACTGCTTAGAATTAGAAGAGAACACACCCATGCTAAAGTTGACTAAAAAGAGGAATAAAAAAATCTTAATGCCTTAATTAAAAAATTAGGAAAACTGTAACCTTTAGGGACATGAATAATGTCAAGTCAAGTCACATTTATTTATATAGCACTTTTCACAATACAGATTGCATCAAAGCAGCTTCACAGTGATAACATGAAAGTAGTACAACACAGTTCAATAATATTGTTGAATATTAAATATCCCCAACTAAGCAAGCCAAAAGCAAGGCGACAGTGGCAAGGAACCAAAACTCCATCAGATTGGATGGAGAAAAAAACCTTGGGAGAACCCAGGCTAGTCAGGGGCCAGTTCTCCTCTGGCTAACAATCATAGGGTTTCAAAGAAGCTTTACAGTAAGTGCATATCAGAGAGTACCTGGAAAAAATACATTTAGTTAATCATGTAATATTAAGGGGATAACATATCGCCGACGTTGAGTCGTCTCTTCGCAGGCGTTGAGTCGTCTCTTCACAGGCGTTGGTCTTCTCATCACAGGCGTTGAGGCATCCGAAATCCCCGTGAGAGGCAGGATACCAAACTGGAGCCTACGAACGCCATTTTTCTCGGGACAAGCGTCCCGAGATAACAGCAGAAAGGCAGATGGGAAATAATTAGCATAGCTGATGTTCATAATGATTTCCATTACACGGGAGTAGGTGTTAGAAAACCATAATCTCACAACTCTCCGCAACCCAAACTCTCCGCAACCCTGAATTGGGGTTGTCCCAATAATGTCCCTGAATTCTTTGTGAATGAATAATGTATCGCAAATAATTAAATGTTCTTCTTTAAAATACAGGGTGCATACGTCTGGACACTTCTATCCCCAGAAACTCCTAACAAAAGCTGATGTCTTTATTTTGAAGCGTATTTGATTTGAAAAACTTTATCCAAAACTAGTCAATGAAATTTTGTCTTTTATTTCGTCTGTAACAGTGCGTATCTGTGCGTTCATTCATTCATGTACACACACACACAGAGAGAAACATGATTCACAGTATGCTATTTTTCCGTTTACAGACACTAACGTTATTCTATATCGCGATTAGAACAAACAGGCCTGGATTAACACAGTGTAGTGCCCTAGGGTGACCACATTTTAGGCTACCGCCTTTGCTCACAACATTAGCTGCTGCTTGAGTATCGGTTGAGGCATTTTTCCCTGCTATAGTGGCTTCTGCTGGTGATGCCGATCGATGTCTCTGTCTTTTCTTCATTTCGAAGAAATAGGCTACACTGTGACCTGACCCAATCGCAATTCTTTATATGCATATTTTATATTCTCTCTGTATATATGTTATCAATAACTGTTCATTTTATATCTATCTTTTCCAGCAAAATAATATATAAAACATGAAAACTATTTTAAAGGTTTAGTCATTCTCTTAATCATTTGGTGCCCCCCTATTGGCTGGTGCCCTAGGGCACTCGCCCAATCCCGTCTATGGATAATCCGGCCCTGAGAACAAAGCACAGCCATAAAACACTTACAGTTCTCAGCTGAATCTATTGCTCCTCCTCGAAGTGAAAATAAACCAGCACTTCTGTATTAAATGTCCCAGGATTATTCCTCAAAGCCGCGCAAGACGAATCTTAATCTGACTAAAAAATATTGTGTGTTTACAGCATTTGCCTGGGGGCGTTTATCTATTTTGCAAATGGCCTCAACACATTATCTTATGAATAGCGCGCTCTGCGAGTGGGTGTGAACAAATTAACGAAAATGAGCTGAGACAGGAGAAACTGTACTTCTCTTTAGTTTCAGACAGATTACATTGCAGGAGAATATATGTTTTAAATGTGAATTGTTTTATTTAAAAGTAGAAATTTAAAGCGTTCTTTAGACGTATGTTTCATGTTTGTGTGATAAGTATTAGCGGAGTTTCCGTTCATTTTCCAGACATGTTTCAGAAAGATTTTTGCGGAGACAGAGTGAGCTGAAAGCGCACCCTGTTTATTTTATTTATTTAAAAAAACAAACAAGGTTTTGATGTTAATGTGAGTGTACACAAAAAAAGAAGACCCTCTATAGTTTATAATCATGTATTGATTTTATTTATATGACCATAAATGACGGAGTATTTTAAGTCTATGTTGCTGCTATGTGAAAAAAAAAACAGCAAAACGCGCGGGCGCGTTCTTGGTCCCCAGAGGGTTAACTTATTAACTTTAGATTTTGTTTGGTTGCTGTACATGAGTTACAACAGCCGGATGAACAATAAACAAAGGTCATATGATGGTGTTGGTTGTGTTTTAACATAATCATTATTTCACAATCATTTGGCACTGAACTTATATTAAACCGAAGTTAAGTTTACCTTTCGAATAATAGCAGCATTGTCATTGTAGAGCATACTATTTTTAGACTTTTCAATGAAATTCAAATGATCAAATCAATAAATAAAAAAGAAACTTCCTAAAAAAATATTCTGAGTAGGCACACACAGACATCAAGAATCAGCATATGAATCTCAGCAATGGTGACAATTATAAAGCATGTTGCAGTGCATTCTGGGTGCCACCAATCAAAACTCATTAATGGCTCCCATCATGCATTGCTGCATGAATAAATAATGAGCATATGATCTGTTCGTCACCATTGCTGAGATTCAT